TGGGGACATAAGGAAGGACTAAAAAAGACTAAGAAAAAGTGATTAGTGTGTTAGAATGGCCAAGAACAAGTGGCACCTCCAAAGCTATGCTGAAATTTAGAGCATGAGCAAAAATGTCAAAAAATCAGAAAAGTCAAATAAGAGCAGAGACTGTTCATTACCTTAAGCAAAAGAAGTCAGTGAGGATCTGGAGAAGTATAATTTTGATATAATGTGGAGGCAGCTGCCAAGAAAAAGTGGACCTGAGTCCAGATAATATCAACAGTTGTTTCTAAGGGTTTATTATAGAGGAGCTAAATAATTGGGGTGGGAGTCAGAGGAGGAGATATAAACAAGAGATGTTTTTAATGGATAATATTTCCTCATGCAATTATACTGACCAGAAATCACAGCAAAAAAAAATTTTTACAGGTGAGAAGAGAATCACTTCAAGAATATCTTTGCTCGGTTAGAGGAAAACCAGAGAAAGTGTTGGTCTTAGTAGAAGAACAGATAATTTTTCTACAGTCAAGGAAGGGAAAGCAAAATAAATGATATAGATGCAAGTTTCTCATATGCGTGGTTGCGTCAAATGACACCTGTCTTGGTTACTTTTCTCTCGTTGCTGAAACAAAATACCTGAGGCCCAGAATTAAGGAAGGAAAGGTTTATTTAGTTTATGGCTTGTGGAAGTTCCGGTCTATAATCAGCTGGTTCCAAGGCAGAGTTGCACATGGCAGAGGGCAACAGGAAGACAGCAAAAGTAGAAAGAGATAAGGGGAGGAGCAGTGGAAAGCAGCCTCTTTCCCTCCCTTACATTGTTTCTAAGGGTTTATTATAGAGGAGCTAAATAATTGGGGTTATTGGAGCTAAATAATCTAAATACTGAATTTAAAGTCTGTCTTCAGCTCCCAACCCTTCCTACCTGGCAAGCTACCCACCCCAGGGCAGGTGTAACCCTCACATCCATGATCTCAGCATTGGACCATGAATCCATCAAAAATCTAGAAGCCTGCCCCATGACGGCATGAAGATTTGAGGGGACATGCAGACACAAACCATAACACCCCATATCAGCTCTAAAAAAAATCTTAAAATTTTCATTTCACTTTATAAGAGGGTAAATGAGTTATTCCATTATTACTCCAGTAAACTTCATTAGATTATTTTGATTCTAACTTCTTGGGCATAAATTGTGGTTGAATATGTTTTATAGAAGTATTCTAACTCAATTAGCTCCAAAGGAAATGCACCAAAATAATCAATATTCAGATATGTAATCAATCAAAATGATCTTGCTTTAAATGTTTCCTAACAAGGAATGGAGGAATTTAAAATCTTTCTCCCACTTGATTATGCTAAGCTTGCTATTTTTCATATTTTCCATCTGATTAATAACAAAACTCAATGATGTATAATTTCTCATGACTATAGTTGGTTCCAACCACTGAATGAGGCAACAAATTACATCCTGGCTTAGTGAATGATGCCATATCTCTATCAACATTCCCATTCAATTTGACACAAATACCTAGAGCATGGTAAGTTTGATACAGAAATAGTATTCTAAAAGGCTGGAGAAAATGATAATGCTGCTAAATCGTGTGTTTCTGAGTGGGATTCAAAAGGTGATTAACTTTACCTACTCTCCACTTCAGGCCAAAGTCCCTGGAATGCTGAAGCATCCTTTCTTTGACCAGTATCAGACTTGATCAACATCTAAAATAAATCAATGATATAGGAAAAGTTGAACAACACTGGCCCTCCAGCCCCTGAGAACAATTTGAGGTTTGCATTTCTCATTCTGATGAGCTCACCAAAAAAAATGGAATAATGAACACGCATAAGCATTCTAAAGCATATTCTCAATATTCGGTAGCTTTAGAATGGCACTTCTAAATGCAAAAGCATCTTTGCCTCTTTGAAAATCTTCAGATCTACCCCCAAAATTCTGACTGAGCCAAAGCCTGCAATTATTTTATTTCCATTAGTCATTTTGCTTCTGGTGTATTATACCACTTCTCTCTGTCTGTGCAAATTAACAGACAGAGTTGCCCTCACAGCAAAGCAATTCTTTTTGGCAGTACAAAATCAAGCTGTTTACTTTCATTTCCAAATATTGAAAGCCTTTAGAAATTGAACCTAGACTTTACACATTGCATTTTAGAATATTCTTCACCATTACTAAATGGAAATATGAAATACTTAGCTCTAAACAGGAAAAAAAAAAACCTCATTATGTAATAGGTAATATTGTCATCTTTTGGTACATTATTTGCTGAGCCCTCACTAGACAAATCTGCATGAGGCACATGTCTTTGCAAAATCAAGCCCAAGAAATATTTGAAAGGAAGCCAGGTACCTGACAAACAGGAAAGAAGATGTCCTAAAGGACAAGTGGAGCTTTCCAAGTGTTCTAACCTACATGAATCATTAATATTTCTTCAATTATTTAAGAATTTTTTTTATTTTTCACTGGAGCCATCGTGAGAAGATTCCTAATAGTTATTTTCAGTGATTGCAAAACTACCTCCATTTATTTAAAAAATAATTTATCTTATACTTGAGCCCACAGCTACAGCCCAATGCTTGTGACCAAATGCAAAGCACAACACATTTTTAAACCTTAACCAGTTTCTTTGTATTTGTGTTCACAGTTACCAAAGAGGAATATTTTAACATTTTAAAGTATATGTCATAAGGAACAGCAGCAGAAATAGCTGGAAAAATAACTATACCGACTATCATTAGCTGATATATAGTTGTTCTGCCTCCACAATGTCATCTAGTACTATCAAAGTGGAGCTAATAACATGAGTGAAAGCTTTCCCCTGGAGAAGCATGGTAGCACACATCCGTAGTCCCCGTCACTGGAAAGGCTGAAGCATGAACCTCGCTTGAGTTGAGGAGTTCAGGGCCAGCCTGAGCAGCACAGCAAAAGTCCATCTCAGAATGGAATGGAATCGAATGGAACAGAAATGGCCTTTGATGAATTCTAGAAGCATTCCTTCTTTTCACGTAACATTCGTGATTGTGAGGTGCCAATTTGACGATGCAGAATTCACAGCTCTGATCACACCTATGAACAGGGTCTCTTCACCTGGATTTTTTCCTTTTCTCCACCAGGAAGAGTTCAATCTCAAAGTTCTTCAGAAATCCAAGACTCAGACTGCTTTATTTATATATTGTAAGGCAACCTCCAGTAAACACAATAAGTGGAAGTGCATTTGAATTTCACTTGTTCTATGAATACTGACAGCAGCTTGTCATGTCGTTTGCAGTAAACTCTGGCATTCTTTCACACATGGACTGAAAGGTAGGAAGTAGATACTCTCAGCATCTATCAAAATGTGAATATAATTTCTGATCCTCTTGCTTTCTGCTGAACCTCCCAATAAGTAACAGCCTTTAGATACTCAATAGGTAACATATTCAACAATACCGTACACACAAGCTAACGCAAACGGATTGCAGTATGGTAAGAAAAATTCAGTGAATATTTAAAACTTTTATTACACTAAAAAATACATTGCCATTAATCCCCCCAAAATACTTCCCCTGGCTTGCAGCATGCTTGTTCCCCCAGTCTTTCCCCTTTCTAAAGCAGTTCTGGGAGTCTTCTTTCATGACTACCTTAGTTATACTGTTGTCCTGGCTATGTCGATGTCCTGAATCAATCCTAACATGCGTCTTTCACGGTCCCTTTGACTTCGGCAATGAGCCGGAAGTTGTGCAGTGTGGTATAACATGACTAAAGGAGATGAGGACACACTGTAATGTTTTTATTAGTTGCTGCTTTTGCATTGGACAACACTTGGCAGTGGCATTCACTGTTTTTTGATCATACCTCCTAAAAATACCACAGAGAATATGGAGGACCACCTAGGCAGCTGTCCTTGAAAGAGGAGCAATTGCCTCCATTTTGGCTGAGCCTGACCTTATTTCTTTGTATTGATATGTACAGAGCTGGCTAGGACTTTTTCTTATCCTTTAATTGGCTTTAAGCAATGCAGGTCAGTCTAGCTGAGGTGCTGATGGTAGTCTTTGGAAATGGCAGCGTGTTTCCTGGATCCCTGTTGTTCCCCGAGTGAGCTGGGATGAGGCGGGATGTGTGAGCCAATGCTCTAAACTCTCAGCTGGGATTGAGCCTTGGGATAGAGGCTATGACTTCCTGGGGCTTCAAAGATTACACATCAGAGCTGAAGGAATAACCCCCAAACATTAGATACTATCTCAATTGTGTTATGCAGATTACTCTTTCTGCAGATCCTTCTCTCTGTATTTGCAGAGGTGATTTCAGGCCTCCTACCTAGCCCAGCTCATGGTACTCACATACTTCCCACAGTTCTCACAGTCACTCGTCCTCAAGCTACTCCCTTCTTCATGAATGAATAAAACCTGGGTTCGGCCTTGGATCAAGGCCTTTGTTCTGGATGGCCATCATCATGGCTGGATTTAGGAGCCCTTGGCTCCCCACAACTACAAATATACCTTAGTGTCTTTATTCTCGCCATGGGTTGCACTGGAAGTGGTAGATTGGAATTAACTCGCTAGAATTACAATAACTTTTCATGGGATTACAAATACAAACTTCCTTGGCCATGATGAGGCCTCGGAAGGGCTCTCTGTAGAGAATTTTTAAAGCTGCTTGAGAAAGTGGTGAGAACAATGAGACAAGTATATGTGAAGTGAATGAATATTTTGAGGGGGATCAATGGCAATATGTCCTTTACTGCAGTTATTTTCTATTAAACACACATTGTCATTTTATTTGCCTTTATATTTTTTATGCAAAAGTATGACTGTGGGGCTGGGGATTTAGCTCAGTGGCACAGCGCCTGCCTAGCAAGCGCAGGGTTGTGAGTTCGACTTCTGGTACCAGAAAAAAAAAAAAAGTATGACTGTTTTGGATCTTTGTTCACCAATAATCCATTAAAAGGTGGTTTCTATATATTCTAATGACAACATAATTCAGTAAGAAAAAGCAGACATAAATGATTAAAGACTTACAGGTACTCCAAGCCACCAAACATTTATTATGGCTGTCTTGCAATTTTCTGGCTTGCTTGCTGGGACATGGGAATGGATCTTGATTAACAACAAGGGCTGTGAAATGCTGATGGAGAAGGCTGGACACATGTTTTCAGCAGACAGATAATGACCAAGGACAGCAGCACTTTTCAGCCCCAGCAGCATGGCACTCCTCCCCCTAAAGGAATAATGCAATGGCATCTGTTAGGTAACACCCTCAATGGAGAATATCTTTGAGATTTGCAGAATGTAAACAAGTGCAGTTCCCAGCAGTACTAAGACTTTTAATAGCTTCCTTTGAGCTTGTTTCCACAGAAGCAAGGATCTACCTATAACTTTCTATCCTGCTCATGGTACTTACAGTAGGCACCAGGGTTCACATCTAATTGGTTAATCATTCTGAAAGAAAACACACAGAAACAAAGCTTACTTTGATGGTAAAATTTTCTTTTAATTTCCCAATTGAAACAAAATCCAGCAATCTTAAGAAAAAAACAAATAAAAACTGTCAGTGAGTATAAGGCACAACCCAGGAGTCCAGGTACTTTATGAACACTTCCTTTGGAAGACCTCTTAATTAACCTCCACTTAAACTACTTATTAGATTAACAAACCCATTCTGTTCCCTCCGATAAACTCATCAAACTAACTGATATCCATGTTATGATAAAATTATACACATTTTTAAGAAATAGGAAACACTGAAGTGTTTTTATGTTCTCACATACTCAACACACTTTATTTGGGGGTTACAAAATGTCTGTCTGGATCTCTGCCCAACACAGCCGATTTTCCAGTGGACACTAATGTAATTCACTTCAGTCCTGACACTGTCTACCTGGAGATAGCATCAGATCCTACAAGTTAAAGACTCAATCCCACGAAAGACTCAGGGCTCCTGATTCAGAAGCCCCAGGCTGCGACCTGTCCTTCTGCAACAGGCTGTATTCCCATGACCGCCTGCCTTGAGGTTAACTAATTTACTATACTGGTGCGTAAAACCCTACAAAACACTTATGTTCCTTGATTGATTAGAAACAATATTACAAAAGACACAGACTAACAGGCAGATGAAAGGGACGTATAGGGCAAGCTATATGGGAAGTATACATACTATAGCTTCCCATAGCTATATGGGAAGGTACATACATACTCTCCAGTAACATCATGTATTCAACAATGTATATCCACTTGGAGGTTTGTTTATTTGTTTTTGTGGATTCTTTATGATGTAGACATGAGCTATTGGTGCCCAACTCTATCTTCATGTCCTCGACCTTCTCAAATATTGAGGGGTTTAACTAAAATTTCTAACCCTCTAATCATGCCTCCGTCTTTCTGATGACCAGCTTTCATCCTGATGCTATCTACATATTGTGTTTCTGCATCCTATTCTGCACCTACCACTTGAACTTGTTAAGGTAACCAAAGTATTTAATGTATTTTACAAACTATGAAATGCAAGTTCAAAAAAATTTTTAATGAAAAGCTAGATGAGTATTTTGAAAAGATCTTTATCTTTATCAAAAAATTGTTATTGTTTTAGGTTATAAATGAACTCTACAAACCATTAAAATCATGGCATGTGGAAGCAAGCCATTTCACAAATATTTTTAAATTCTTAACTTTAGAAGAAATAGAAATTAGAAACCCAATATGAAGTACAAAGAATAATGACTATAGGTTAGCCACAAAAGAATAACAGCACTGCAACCAAAGAAAGACCTCAGATTATGTTAATGAAATTGGAAAAAGAATATATATTTAAATGTTTTGCAGTAAAATAAATTATTTACATTGTGTATTAAGAAATTTCATTTTCATAGAAATTTCATTTTCTATGATTTCTTCTCTGAATGGTTTTTTCAATTAATCCATTACTCGTTTTATACGCACCTATTTTCTCCTGCTTTTATAATCTAACCAAATTTCATTTTCTCCTTATTCTTTACCTCTCCCAAGGCAAACCCTTAGAATGCTACTTGTTAGGAAATCTCATGATTAAAAGAGATAGCAAGGCTTCGCATTCTAACAGTGCACAGGGATAAGGAAGCCTATCAATCTGCATGAATTAAGATTTCTTTCTAGTTTCAATTTACCTTTAACCCTGCTATCATCCCACTACATTTTGCGCTGCTGGAGGGTGGGAGTGGCTAGGTAGGTCATACGGATGTAATTTATGGCCATTTAAAGTGAGTCAAAAAGTTAATAACTTTGAAATAATGCATGCACCTCATACTGAGTTTAATCAGGGTTTATAAAAAGATGGGTTACTTATTCCTTTTTGCCCTTCATCGATCCTCATTTAAAAACAAGTTTAGCAGGAATTAAGTAACAGGCTTTATGGTGCCCTTTGTACTTTGTGAATTGTGAGCTTTCTATAAAAATGCTTGAAGTTAGAATTTAAATAGTTAAATAGGATTCACCCGCTCACCTTCATAACTCCGCAGGTGCAGTATCAGCAGAAAGCACCCTTCCCTTCCCTCTGAAACTGTAGAAAATAACACTGTTGCAAAGCCTCTGGGACTCCTCACAAAACATGAATATTCAGCAACAGGAATAGAATTAAATGTAACTTTAAGAAGAGCTTATCATTTCTACCTCACTTTCATCTCACCCCTCCCCAGACTTCTCTTCCTAATTGCATAAGAAACTTGGAGTCTGTACCTAGTCAGCATGAATTTTATTTACAGGAGTGAGGAGGCAAATGTTTCCCTTCTCCGAGTCCCTAGGGTGAGGAGCATGGGGCCAGTCATTTGAAGATCTGTTGAAGACCAGTCGGAATTAAATGCAGTGTGCTAGTGTGCTATTCAAGTAAGGATGTATTGGGAATTTTCAACTAGAATCCTTTGCTTACAAATATCTGAAACTTAACTGAAGCTGCTTTAAACAACAGCAGAAACTCACTGTTTTCCTTCACCTGGATGCACAGTAGATCAAATGGACTCGGGCACAGTTAGTCAGAGGTTCAAACAATGGCGCCATCTCTTACTACTTCCCTAGGTAATCCTCACATCATAAGACACAAATATTGTTTCTGTGTCCTCAAAGCCTGAAAATTCAGTGCAAAGAGCATCTCCAGGATGTTTATGTCAGTTGCTTGACTGCCCTATCCCTGTTTGGGTTATGTGGCTATATTTTCATAGAGAACTACGATGCACATAATTAAAAGCCCTTTCTGCATTTCAGGGTATGGAGAAAAGAATATCGTCTTCTAAAAGAACAGATGCTGAACAGACCAAAAATAAATAAGACGGCAAACATCCGCAAATGTTTCTTAATCAAGTCAATAGGAGTGGCACTCAGGGGGAATATGGGTTGGGCTGTGAAGTGATGGGAGCTCCATGGGCAGAGCTCTATGCTTGAAAACTTCCTACCACATACAAGGGCCCGAGTCACCTCTTTCAGCTTTTCTCATCTGTCAGGCAAGTCCTAGTTTGTAGAAATATTTCAAGCATTAGATACCTTCTTGTAAAGCAATTTGTGTGAGTTCTGCTACACATTAGATGTTGAATAAACGATAGTAATTTTGATGAAACAAGGGAATCAAGATTAATTTTAAATTTCAACAAAAAGAAGCAGAGATCCGAAAAGATGAGGAAACTATAAAGTTTACTCTATCCACAAGTAAGTAAGTAGCCATATTTGCTTTAAAATATTTCAAATAAGAATTAGTATTAACATAAAATATCAGTTATATTTAATATAACTATGAAAGTGTTGTTGTATGATGGGGGTTTAGGGTTGTTTTGTTATTTGTTTTGGGGATTTGGGGGGGTTGGCTTTTTGAGACAGGGTCTCGCTATGCAGTTCAGGCTGGCCTTGAGCTCACTTTGTAGCCCAGACTGGTCTCGAACTCACAATGGTCCTCCTGCCTCAGCCTCCCAAGTGCTGGGATTCCAGGAAAGCACCACCATGCCCAGCTCTGTTGTATGGTGTTTGATGGGGTATTATGATGACTTACTGACAAACTAAGCCTGTGCTCAGCATTAATTACAGTAAGAATGTTGCCAGTTTTTTTCATTCTTAATATTACCATTGATATTTATCATACAGTGAATAATTAACTCAACTCACAACGGGCTAAAGTGTTTCTAAAAGCTGAACCAAGCTCAGGCAGGAGCAAAGATTTGTGGATAAATAGGGAACGGAAGGTTACTTAGAGTCTGAGGTCCCATCTCCGGCTTTCACACTAACCTCTGCAACCTTGCTTGACAGCGCATTGAAGTCTCAATGCTACCTTTTCTGCAAAAGAGGGAGCTGTTGAGCCCTAATCACCTCCAAAAGATAGTTTGTACTTAAGAACATAGCATAGAAAATAAAGATTTATTTCAGTTCTTAAATTTCACTTAATTCTCATGCAATTTTTTATATTAGTACATGCTTATAGTACATAATGTATACATTCCTTGTGGGAACTAGTACATTTACATGATCTGTCATAATTCCTTTTGTTCCTTCCTCTACTCTTCCCTCTTATCCCAATCCATTCATCTCTTAATCCCCTTCTTTTTGTTTGGGTTTTGGTGGTTTTTCATACGTGTTTGCCATGTTTACATTTCTTGTGTGGAGTTGGGGCATGTACATAACATATTACAATTCCTTTTTCATCCCCTTCCCCTCCCCCTGCCCACTCTTCATCTCTTGATCTCCTCCCTCACTGAGAACAATCTATCTCCCTATTTCCTGTTATCTACTTCTTAAGTGTGTAATTAGTGAATACATATCTAACCTCCATATGACACTTTCATATTAATCAGGTTTTGGTTTAAGATGAAATCAAGTAAATATACTATCTATAAAATAAATATACCTACAGTTAATACAGGAATTCAAAGTCACGGTATCACAGAGGTATAGAACTAGAGGTAACCCCAGAATTGAACTAGTCCAAACTCTTCATTTTAGAGATAGGAGGAATCAACACAGAGCTCATAGTTTCAAGGCTCAATTTTAGAGAACTTCCATTTTATCATCTAACTGTGGCAGTTCATTCTGATGTATCAAATTCATTGAATTAAGAAATGCAGAACAGATTATTGTAGCACACACTTGGGTGTGTCTGGGTGGGTCATGAGGCATGGCATCGGATACTCTATGTTCTACAGCCCATACTTCTCTGATGCTCTTCTTTTGCTCTGCCTCTTAGCTGCCATGAATGGCTTTGTGCCACCATGTCCTTCTGCCATTACATTCCTACCTTGGTGCAGCTAACTATGGACTGAACCCTCCAAACCATGACCTAAATTCCACCTTTCCTCTATGAAGTTGTGAATAGTGTTGGGTATAGCGCCCAGCAACAGGAAGGCTGAGTAACACAACACTTAACCAGGAGAAATTTTAAAGATTTAAAAGTTATTTTAAAAACAATATTAGTTCTTTCAAGTAAAAACAGTAGA